GACTATAAGGCTTATGTGGATTCATTGCCTAAGACATATGAAGGGTTCTAAGAAGAATATTCTTAAGAAACACTTGACAGTCTTTGTAATTCCTCTCTTTAATTAATAAAGAGTTTCCTTTTTCTTAACTATTACTCCATTTGTTAATTTCTTAAATTATCATATATATGAATTGTGATAATGCCGGTCAGTTTTCCAATTGAAGCTACGTAAAAATATTACTTCAAAACAACAGAGTCGCTGTCGAATATTTATTTATCCCGAAGAAGAGAAAGGAAAACATTGAAGAAAATCTTAAAATAAAAAAAAATGGTCTCACAACTAAATCTTGAGTAAGGGAGTCGATTATGCAACGAGAAGGTATTAATACCCCTCACATCTGTGGTACTCCACGGGATTCACTCTTGTTATTTCTATTCAAAGGATCTATATATCTAATGCTTACTTGCTAGGGAGTAATGCATGAAATGAATTGTCTAAAGATAAAGGAAAAAAGAAAAGGTTTTTATTATTGTGCTCGCCTCGAGGGTTAAACTTCGTGCCTACGTATCCCGAAGGAATCAGAGAGTCATAGTTCGGCTAAAAAATGTTTGTTTGTTATGTGTTTTTTTTTTTGAAAGATGCTAAGTTCACATCCTAATAATTAATATTTTTTGCTCGATCTTTGAAGACTCACACATTGTTATATTGTGTAGAATGAATTTTACATGTCCTCGAATAACTATGTAGTAAGATATTCAGTAGTATTTTTTACTTCATCAAATAACTTTTGTAAAGTTCTTCGAAGAGTATTTGTAAAACATATTACTAACATGTAAGTAGGAGGGTAAATGTTGCGGTATAGAGTAAAATTTTCCTCAAATGAATATGATATAGAAGAGCCCAAATTGCTAACATGTAAGTAAGCCCAATGTAAAATCTAGAAAGCATGCCAATAATAAAAGAAGACAAAATAATAGAAAGTATTTCGATAATATCTGCAATATCTTTCCTTATATATTTACAATCTATCCCCAAAGGCAACATAAAACCCTCACACTTCTTCAAACATTCATTTCTCATATCTACTACCCTTATCCACAAACAACCACAGAGCTTTCTACACTTCCTTTCTCTCCCAATTTTCAGATATGTCTATCACTTCCTTCAAATCCCTCACAATGGCCAAATCCTGTTTACTCTCTCAACCCTCCCTCTTCTACTCCAAAACCAAATCCCCATTCATCTCAAACTCCGCCAAGCCTTTCAAAATCCAAAACCCTACGTATAATTCATCTAGGGTTTCGCACTCTCTTTCCCTCAGTACTGGTAAGAGAAGAACCCGTTACTCTTCGTTGCTGACATCTGTGGCGCAGACTTCGGACTGGGCTCAGCAGGAAGAGAAGGAGGGTGGAGCTACATGGGAGAATCAAGGGGAGCCTACGTGGGGAAGTGAGACTGAGAGTGCTGATGCTGATGCTGATGCTGATGCTGATGCTGATGGTGATGGTGAGGTTGAGGGTTACGAGGAGGAACCACCGGAGGAATTGAAGATTTTTGTTGGGAATTTGCCGTTTGATGTTGATAGTCAGAGATTGGCTGGGCTTTTTGAAGAGACTCCGGGGACTGTTGAGACTGCTGAGGTTAATTTTTTTTTTTTTTTGGGTTTTGTGTGTTGGAATTGAGTTAATTGAAAATGTTTGTGAGAGGAATATAAATTGTGTGTAATTGTGTGTTATTGATGTTGTGGTATGGTAGAGGATAGTATGGATTGTGTGCAGGTGCTGGTGTCATGTTGTTGTTGTTGAGATTTGTTAGATGTTTGTTGCGCGATTTGTAATTTATATGGTTTGTTTGGTTTTCAGGTTATTTATAACAGGGATACTGACAGAAGTCGGGGATTTGGATTTGTGACGATGAGTACGGCTGAAGAACTTGAGAGGGCTGTGAACAAGTTCAGTGGCTATGTAAGTTTTCCTCTTTATGTATGTATGTTTGTGTGTGACTGATTCTGTGTGGATAAGAGTAAAATATCTCTCTGAGAATGAGAGAAATTGAGAGAAGCTAATAGGTTATTAGTTTAAAAGTGTAAACAAATGTTCACATGGTAATTGTCTGTGAAGAGTTTGGTCTCAGGAACAGATGTAAATGACAAATTGTTTTCTTAAAGTTGGTTGCTAGCTGCAATTTGTCATTCTTTTCTTAAAGTTTCACGTTAGCTGCAATGTGTGTTACTAACTTCACTCCCACTCACTCCCCAACTCAAATGTAAAATGATAATTTTTTTCATGCGCACAATATGAAGTTGAAGCTAAACATATAAAATAGTTTGCTCTGTAGTAGCACCGGCATCTCTGAAAAAATGTGGTGCTGGTGTCCGAAACCAACTCCGACACTTGTAATTACATTTTATTTATTTATTTTTTCAAATTATTACTGGTGTTGATGTGTTAGTGTCGGTGTCATGTTTTTGGTGTCCGTCTTTCATAGATAGTTTGACAGTTTTCTTCCATTTAGATTTGTAGACTTCAAAACATCTTTTTTCAATCTCATTTCATCCTTTTAACAAAGAGAACACCATTTACTTTGACATTGGAGTTGCATGTCTGTGTCTGCCTCTAAATTGATGTTATGTTGTATATATGAGAGTGAAAAAAAGAATTATTTGACATAATGAGATTTGTCTTTGCATATTTTTCTTGTTCTAGCAATGCTTTGAAAATTTTCTTCTACCACTTTGTTCGAATATGGAAGCCTTTCGTGTTTTCGTTTTTCTCTTTTTCCCTAACAAATGAATGTAGAAAAGTTCACGAAGCAATCCATGTATTATTAATATTTCTTCTCTAATTTCTCATGTGTGGTTTCTTTGTAGTTTATTTGGATCTAATTCACCTTTTGTATGACAGGAGCTAGATGGAAGATCGTTGACAGTTAATAAAGCCGCTCCAAGAGGAGCACCAAGACCTGAGCGCCCACCACGTGCCTTTGATTCCTCTCTACGAATCTATGTTGGTAACTTGCCATGGGAGTTTGACAATGGTCGCTTGGAGCAACTCTTCAGCGAACACGGTAAGGTTGAGAGCGCTCGTATAGTCTATGACAGAGAGACAGGCCGGTCACGCGGTTTTGGCTTTGTTACAATGACCGATGAGGCTGAAATGAATGAGGCCATTGCTGCTCTTGACGGTCAGGTATGTCAGAAGTAATTTCGTAGTTAATCATTGGTAACATAACATGGATTTGTGATTTTATACGTATGAATCGTTACAAGAATTACATGTTTGATTAATTTCTGATATTGCAGAGCTTGAACGGAAGGGCGATCAGAGTGAATGTTGCTGAGGAAAGGCCTAGGCGTAACAACTACTGAGTGCAAGAAATTTTCACTTTTAAAGTCAGTGTTGTTGCCTGATTTCTCTTTTTTAACGGCTAAGGATACTATTTCAATTTTTTATTTAATTTTCAAATGTTCCTTTTTGTCAGCTGGTTTCATCTTAGATTTGAATATTTAATGTAAAAGTAATCGTCTTTTAGAACAAGTATTTTGATAATCAGCCAATTGATTGTTACATCATAATCTTATTATTTTTTTCCTTTGTTTTAATTTTTCTCTCTACTATTTGAAAATGATTATGATTATCATTCTTATCTAATTTACTCTCGTTCTTAATATAATCCCTACAATATTAAGAAAATTAAGAAAGAAATCAAATTGATTATGAACGGTATAATCTTTTTATTGAAATTTCTAACATAGTACGGAGGGGTCTACTCCTAACTCAAACCAAAGGAGAAAATTAGAGTAATATTATTTAAATTTTTTTTTTTGATTTAGTCAATCAGTTCCGATCTACATAGTGAGTTGACTAATTTAGTTTCGTGATTTAGATGAATGATTTACTGGCCAAGCTTTATTTTCATCAATTCTCCACTACACTGCCACACCAAGGTTATTACATCACCATAATATTGTATGTAACATAACATTGTATGTAACATAACATTGTATGTAACATAACATGAATACTTAAAAGAGTTCAATATGAGCATTAGATTTGGTCTTTGAATAGGATCTTTTTCCCCCGGCATTTTGGAGAGTTAACATGGACAACCGGTTTCAACGTTTTCACCCTACCTACAACTTTGTAATACTATCGAGTGTTGTCAAAAAACCGTGATGGATGTTGTTGGTGGATTTTTGTGACAGCTCTCATGGTCAATTTGTGATGACAGCGATGCCATTGCATTTTATCGAATGAGCCAACAACGTTTTGGTCCACCATGGATCCATTGCCTTTTTTTACCATAGATTTAATATATGGTAATTTCTTTCTCCACTCTTCCAGATTCTTAGCTACCAATTTCGTTTTTATCCCAAAAATTAGGAGATATATTTTCGAACACATCATAATTTATTTTTTTAGGGTTATTTCGGAGATGTATTATCGGAATATTTTTTTTCCCTTTAAAATCAAGAGTGTTTCGGGGATGTATCTCCGAAAAAGGATATTACATAAACAAACACAAAATTTATGTTTTTTTTCCAGAACAATTTATGAACATTGTATTGTTTAATAGACAACTTAGTGTCTTTTATCGTTATTTATGTCTTTATCATTTTCAATTTGCGTGTTTATTTTCGTTTTCATCTAATTATTTATCAATCCATTGTTGATTTAAAAATAATAATTATTGTTTAGGGTTTCGGAGATGCATCTCCGAAAAAACCAAATCAGAGTGTTTTGGAGATGCACCTTCAAAAATATCATTGAAAATTGAAATATAACGTCTAAGTCTAAATAAATTGTTTTTGGAGATGCATCTTCGAAACACCTTAATATAAGATACATTTGGAGATGCATCTTCGAAAAGTATTTTTAGGTTTTGAGAGATTTTTCCTCTTTTGGGTTTTGAGAGATTTTTCCTCACTCAAAGAAGGTTCATAGGAGGTGTACAAAGAAATTCTCTTAATATATTTTATAAATGACGATAATGATTGATTATCTGCAAATTATTGGTAACTTATTGTTTTTGCAACAAGATCAAAAATAATAAATAATAAATATATTTTTTTGGACTTTGGGCCTTTTTTGTTTGTTCCATTGCATTAGTTCACTTTATTTATATTGAGAAGTTTTAATTTGACATCCTCACGGTTGAGTTTGACACCTCCAAAGTGTATGAAAAGATCAAAATAGTTTCAAATTCTTTTACAAGAGAATTTCTTTTAACACCTAGTAATCTTCTTCTAGTCTTTTGGCGAAAAACTCAAAATACTCCCAGACTTCGAATATGCATATTCGAACGTACCGTATATGACAATAACAGGTGTGTTTCCATGTGTATATCCGAAGTAATTTTTTTGTCAAAAAAAGAGAGACTTCATATGTAAATCTCCGAATTCACTATATAATTTATGACTTCAGAGATGCACAAGCGAAGTCATTGAGTTGTCTTCAAAATCAAGAACAAAACATATACCTATTTCTATTCAAACACAAAAACTTCACATTTCTACTCCAAACCCCTAATTTCTACTATCCAATTTGAAGAACTCAGTCATTTTTACTCATCTTCTCATTTCAACTCTTTTCAAGTCATTCCAACTCATCTCCAAAGCTCCAAGTTTGTGTAAGTTTACTCCATTTCCATTTGATTTACTATACAATATTATAATAGTTTATTAGGTTAGTTAGAATCAATGATATTGTGTAGGTTGCTGTTAGAATAGTTAAATAGTTGGTGTTTGGGTGACAAAAAAAGTATTTGAATGATTTAGGGTAAGAAGAAGCTGCTTCTTGAAAATGACTGTTTGCAGGTGGTTTCAGATGTCCACATCTGAAATCCCCTTGGACCAGTTTTAGATGCACACATGCGAATTTTAACATGAGCTGTTTTTTTAAACCATCATATTAACAATTATAATTAATTTTTTAGGAAGATGGCTGACAACCAGGACCCGAACAATCATTTGAGATAAGGTATGCCCAGCCAGATTGCCTCTGCTCGGCGAGAGAGAGCTGATGTTGTACCCCAAAATTTTCCCTCTCATTTTACTCAAAACATACTCCTAGAGATCCTCAATTTGCTCAAGTTTTCCCAAGAGCTGACCAAACAAACTCTCTCCTAAGGCAGTATACCTCAAATTAGGGTTTCCTTTTTCATCAATATGTGTGAACTACAAAGGACTCAAATGCTTCCCAAGGTCCTAATATGTTACCAAGATCCTACATGTCAAGTTTCATGCCTTGGACAAGAAGTTTGCTCAGTCAACTGCTCAGATGCTTGAGAATCGACTATATTAGGTCAAAAGTCAACTGTGGCCCACATATAGTCAAATCTCAAGATTTTTGGTCAACATCAACATTTTGAAGCTATTTCCATCATTTGATCAAGGTTTGATTATGATTCCTCAAGGAATGATCCAAATTCATCAAAACCCAAAAGTTGCTAAATTAGGGTTTCTTATGAAAAGTCAACCAAACTTTGATCAAGCATAACTTCTTCATACTTTATCAAACATTTTCCATCCAAAGCTCATTTTGAAAATGATGCAATTCCCTACAATTCATCTTCAGCTCACAAGTCCAAAATATTCACTCATAAAAAGATATGAATTTTGACATTATGGATTATTTTGAAAAGTCAACAAAAATACCTTGAGGGTCAAAGCTTCATACATGAACATGGAAGACTCAATGATATGAGACCAAAAAGGTTGCTTAGGGGACATCCTAAGATTTCTAAAAAGTCCAAGAACACCTCTCTAGGGTTAAAATTGGAGGAGATATGTCTTGTCAAAGTTGACCTTTTTTGCAAAATTGCCAAAAGTCAAATGGGCTCAAAATTGCATTTTTTGTCAAATGGGCCTAAATTTTTATGCTTGCACCTCACTTATAATATGATCCACGACCCAAATATCCAACCTCATGTTATTTGCTTCACTTTTCAATTTATTTTGATTTTTTGTTAATTAAAATTGCAATTAAATCAAATAATTGATGAATAATGAAAAGATATGTTGTGATCTGATTTTTGGACAGGATTTCAATCAAATAATGCAAGGATATCATGATCAATTCGAATCAAGGCTGATTGGTACAAGAAAGGCATAATTTGGATCAATATAGCAAATTTACATATGCAATGAAAATCAAATCAAATCTTCAAAACTTCCAAAGATGTGATCAGTTTTTACAACCCTAATCCACTCTATGATATATATTGAACGTATCCAAGGAAAGAACAAGAGTGAGAATCGTGGGAGGAGGCAGAACAAAACTGCAAAATTTCAAAGAAAAGTGTGAGACCTATCTTCTTCCATAGGCCAATTCGAACCATTCCAAGGCTTCTAATCCATTCCTGGACATCTCAGGAAGCTAATAGCATCGTTTGCCAGCCTTGAAGCATCTAGAATCATCACGTTACAACATCACGGTTTGCACAAAAAACTCAAACTCGATTTCAATGTTTTATGCATCCTAAACGCATGTTATCCACATATTCTTGTTCATAATCATGATTGCAAGCTTTCTATATAGCTTAATTGTACTAATAGTGTAGGAATCCATATTCACCATTGCTAGGGTTTAAGAGCTCGATTTGGGGATTTTTGATACAGGGAAAATTGGACCATGAATGAGGTACCATGACACTCGTGAGAACAAGACGAGTTGATTGGTACCATTACAATTGATTTACATTACATGTACAAGATTTTTGAGATGGAGAGGGTTGTAGCTACGGACAAACGTCCGTAGGTAAAAGTGCTTCATCTAAAGCCACCGTTCAAGGGAGAAGATGATGGCGTGTCAAGCCACCATTGGAGCGTTTGAAAATTTGCGTGTTTTCTGAGCATGGAAATTAACTTCGCTTTTGATTTTATTTGTTTATAATATATTCAATTAACAAGTCAAGCGCAGATGGTAAGGAAGCTTGCCTTTGATGTACACGTCCAAGGTTCGATCCCAAGCGTGTGCATTTTTCTATTTTCTTAACAATTTCAGGTCAATCCCATGCATTACACCATCCAACACCCATCATGTGCCATCAACGTACGTCCATTGGATGCCCAGCTGGCCAGATCTCACGCCTCTCCAATGAAGGATCATGGTGCACCATGTTGTACCCCAAAATTTGCCCTCCCATTTTTCATAAGAAAAGCACAACCCTAGGGTTTCTCAAATGTTCAAGACTGGCAGGAATCGATCAGACAGATTTTCTCCTATGGCAGTAAATCAGGAATTAGGGGTTTTCTCGCATTTCTCAGAAGAAATTGAGTTCTCAGAAATTCAATTGATTTTTACATGTTTTCATGCTCTCTCAAATTTACTGGAAAAAGGCAGTGTTTATTTGATCCAGGTTAACCAG